CCCTCAACCCAAGGCAAAAAAGAGCAGGCCAGGAGCAGGCAGCATTTCCTGGTGACCCAGAGCCCAGCAGTGGCATGGTGGCTGTGGAAGGGCAGAAGGATGGATTGATCAGCGGGATCATGGCAGAAGGACGGATGTGCCATTGGTGCCCAGTGCAGGGGAGCTCTGAGGGTGCCCTGGGGTGCCGGACATGTGGCTCAGTGTGCCATCAGCACCGGGCTGCAGCCCCCCCAGGCTCCCTGCTATTCTTAGCTCTTTCCTTGGGGATCGGTTTTCAGGCAGGGATCAGCAGGAGAGCAGAGCGTGGCAGGGGGCAGCGAGCTCTCCTCCAGCATTATTCCATGTGCTTTGTTATTCCTTGTTCTCCAGCACAGGAGTGGCCCCTCTCCTGCCCTTCCCAGGGGTTTGGGGGTGCATGCCAAGGGCTCCCTGCCAGAGCAGAGGATGTGCCCCGGAGTCCATGCAGTTTCCTGTTTCCCTGGCTCTCCACTGTCAGCTTTTCTAACTCTTTCCTGTTTTTTCTTCATTTTGCAGTCCCAATAAAAGACTTTCCAGCAAGAAGGTGGCAAGGTAAGCTCATACTCCTGTTGTTGTTTGCTTGATCCGTGTGAGCTGCCGGCTCCATGGAAGGAAAACTCAAAATAAGCTTGGAGGGTTGTATTTCTGGATATATTCCATAGTGCTGGGGGAAAGTGGGTTTAATTCTGGGATCTTTTTTCTGGAATGGGGGTTTCTCACTTGTGCACACAGCTGGAGGCTGCTGGCAACCTTATTCCTTGAGGAAAAATGGGGAGGGCTTTTCCTCACACTCTGTCCTGCCAGGGCCATAGCAGGGAGCTCATGGAGCAGGGAAGGAGTCTCTAGAAGGACATATTCCTCTGGGATATGTCCCAGTCTGGGATCCCTCCCAGTATCACCATGTCTGTAGAGTTCTGCAGGACCAGACCAGTCAGTACCCACACCTGGAGGGATTCTACAGCACCCCCAAAATCCCTCAGACAGCTCTTGGTCCTGTTTAACTTCAGTCCATATCCCCCTCAGCATTTGGCTTTGTGGGAGCAGCTCCCCCTGCTCAGTCAGGGGCTCTGGGACACCTGGGTGGGCTGCAGGTAGCTCTGGTTGAATTTTAACCCTGGTTTAAGCCCAGCTTTAATGCTGCGCTGCTTCTGTCCTGCACAACCACCTTGTGTGATGTCAGTCACCTTTTCTGTGTGGGCATTGTGACCCCCCAGGGATATTGGATATATTGGATATACTGGGCAGATCTCTGGAGCACAGGGTCCTTCCCTCCCCTCTCAGTGCCACCTGGTGCTCACCTTTCCTCCTCTCCCAGCTCCCCCATCCCTCCTGTTCCCATGCCATCCTGATTTGAAGGATAAACTGACTCTTACCTCGCTGTTCTGCCTCTGCCACGCTCAGGAGGGAGGTTTCCCTCTGCACTTGTTGCATTTCTCCTTGCTGGTTTCCCAGCAGGACAGGGACACTGTGGAGGAGCAGGCAGCTCAGTTTGGGAATGTTGCTGTTCCTGACGCTCTCTCTGCTCCCTGTGCTGACCAAGCAGCTTCCCTGCACCTCTTCCTCCCACTGTGCTCTCACACCTTTCCCTTCTCCATTTTTCCTGCACTCAGCAATCTCCCCTGGCATGGTTCCCCTCCTGGAAAGGAAGCAGATCCTTGATATTACATTTCCTACATCCACTCATCTTGCTTTCTAGAGCTTTGTTAAAAACACTGGCAGGAAGGAGGGCTGAGGGGAGCAGCCTGTCCCAGGTTTCCTGTTTTAGGACTCGTTTTTGTCCCGTGCCTAGCACTGATAATTTTGGGAGGATTTGAGTTAAACTTTTGGGAACAGAGATATCCTATCTTATGGGGGATTGAGCCCTCCTGGCCCTTTGCTTTTCTGAGGCAGCAATGTGTGGGCTTGTGTAAATATTAGTTAATTCAAGAGCAGTCAGGTTTGGTTTCTGATAAGGAGGGAGATAACAGGGTTTTGCCCAGCCAGACCCTTAAGCTCAGCCCAAAGCAAATCCTTTGTTGCAGATATTGTAATTAGTGAATAATCCCAAAACATTTGCTTTTAGAAAATTGATTTTATTTTGGTAAGGGCTCTTTCCTCATTTTTCTTATCCAGGTTCTGCTCGTGCCAAGAAATCTCAGCTGCTTAAGCCCTGTTGTGCTTGGCACCATTTAAATGACAAATGTGCCTGAGACTTTAAAATCTAAATATAAACTGAGGGTGAGGATGTAAAATCAGGCTGTGGTCTCTTGGTAAATGCCAGTTGTGCTTAGTGAGTCCTGGCATGAACACACTGTGTAGTGGGAGGATTTCAAGAGCCAATGGTACAAATTCCTGGGAAAAACAGAGTTTTAAAGAGACCTCTGGGGTTTTGTCATCCATCATCTGCTCAAAGCAGGAGAGCAGAGTGTTCTTCTGCTGCCTGGGGTGCCAGGCTGGAACACACCCCC